ACCGATCCCATCACTTTTTTTTACCCATTTTCCCCTTCAATTGCGTCATTGGTCAGCTTCGATAATCAACGGGTCTCTTCCCAGGCTCGTCTTCTTCATGCTCGACTATTGGATCACATTAATATTGGATTGAATTTTTGAAGGTGGATGATACATCAGGACTTGGACTTTTCGATGAGCTTAAAAATGTGTTAAAAATTCTTGAACTTGATATTGATAATATAAGAGGTCAAAGGTATGATAATGGAGCTAACATGAGTAGGGGACATAGTAGTGTATAAAAAAGGTTACTTGAGATAAATCCTAAAGCTTTCTATACTCCATGTGGCTGCCAAAGCCTTAATCTAATATTATGTGATACGGCAAATTGTTGTTCGAAAGTTATGTCCTTCTTTGGAGCGATACAAAGAACCTATGTATTGTTTTCTTCTTGTCCCAAACGAATTTTTTAAAAGATAAGGTTAGAGGTTTGACACTTAAGCCATTATTACAAACACACTGGGAAAGTCATATGGAAAGTGTCAAGCCTATAAATGAACAATCTGCACAAATAAGAGATGCTTTACTTGACTTGATAAATATCATCAAAGATCCTAAAACAAAGAATAAAGCTGAGTCCTTAGCTACATATGAACTCAAAAATTTTCAGTTCTTTGCTTGACTTGGTAATTTGGTATAAGTTGTTGCATACAATCAATAATGTGAGTAAATTTTTTAAAGTAGAAAACATGGATATTAATGAAGTCATCCAACTTTTACAAGCACTTATTTTATTTGTTGAAGATAATAGAGAATCTAAGTTTTCTAGTGTCATAGATGAAGCTAAAGAAATGACAAGTGAAACGAGAATTGAAGCTGTATTCCAATAGAGATGCAGCATTTGCAAAAAGAAGCAATTCGATGAAAGTGCAGTGATGAGATATGCAGCTGAAAAACCTTTTAGGGTTGATTATTTTCTCTTTGTAATTGATTAGGCTCGATCATCACTTCAAACTTGTTTTGAACAATTTACACATTATGAAGATATATTTGGATTTTTGTTTAAGTTGAATAGATTAAAGAGTATGTAAGTTGACAGTTTGTTGAAATCTTGTAAGAATCTTGAGCTGTATTTGAAACATAACGAACATTTAGACATTATAGGTAATAACTTGTGTTCAGAGTTGATCGTCTTAAAGTGCTATTTAAATAGACAAAAAGAACATTTGATGTGTTGCATTACTAAAAGAGAATGAATAATTGTTTTTTGAATACTTGCATTGTTTACAGTATTTTACACACCATCCCGATTGCAGTTGCATCAGTAGAAAGAACTTTCTCCAAGTTGGAATTGATCAAGACTTATATCCTATCAAATATGCCATAGTAAAGTTTGAATGGTTTGTTCATGTTATCTATTGAAAAAGAAATGGTTGAACAACTCAACTATACAGAATTGATTGATATTTTTGCCTTGAAAATTGCAAGATAAGTTGTATTTAAGTGATCTTTTAGAATATTTTCACATTGTTATCCGGTTATAATATGCATATTTTAAATATTTCATTTTCCTTTTCTTGTTTTATTTTTTGATTTCAAGTTAACGAATTAAGTTCCTTAAACCTCTTATGAATGAAAAAATTAATTGCTTGCGATGATTTATGAGCCCAAAATCCGAAGTTCATCTCGAACACCGCAAAACACAGGTCCAACCCTAGTTTTGATGATATCTCCATGGATATTACTGGGATATTCATGATTTCTAACTTCATCATTGAGGAGACACTTATGAATATGCTCAAGTTTTCCTTCCTAAAATCTCTCATTTAGACCCAAAAAGATAAATAGTTTGCCAAAGAATAGAAATCTGGATGCATATAAACCTCAGATTGTAGTAAATACGAAGGTCGAGTAGAGTTGTTGGAAAATTTGAACATAAGCAACTAGGAAAGTAAGAATAATGCGAATTTCTACTAGTATTGACAATTAATGTTGATTTTTCCGAAATCAAACTAGATGATGCCACTTTTTTTGTGCAAGGATAATGTTAGTTTCCTACTGTCATCAAGAGTGCATATGTGCTGAGGGAAAATCTTGATGACATAAC